AAGGCCGGCGATGGCGGCCGGGACCGTTGGGGGCGGGGTGTGTGGCCTTATGACACACTTCCGGTGATGTCAGGGGGTGTGGCATATGCTAATGAGTTATGCTAATGAGTTCCCCTAGCTCTTTTTCTACGAAATGACCCCTGACTACAGCCAAAACCTCTGCGTGCCTGGCTACAGAGGGAAGGCCTGGAGAGTGACACACACACCCCGGTGACTCCAAGGCGGGGGGGCCAGGGGGGAAGGATCGGGGAGGCATTTAAATAGTATGGCCTAATATGCTAATGAGTTGTGGCTGTCGGGGGTTTGTGGCCTATTATGCTAATGAGTTTCTGCTGGGCTTTTTCTACAAAAAAAAGCCCTGGGTATGACTGTGGGAGTTGAGGAAACAGCAGGAGAAGGAAGCTGAAACCCTCGTGCCCGGACACATCCTATGGAGGAACCTGGACTCTGGAGTGTTGCAGTACAAGCCAAAGCAGAGTTATACCTTTCTAAACCCACTGAAGTCAGTGAGCTTAGAAGAACTTCGCTGTACGTTGAGCTTCAGATGGCACCACCAAGCGGGCATTTCAAACCTTCTGGCCCATTTGGCAACTGAACCATCTCATTGTCCTGATGATCAGGGCAGCCACAGAGGGGAGTTTCTAAAAGGCGTATTAGACAGTGGATTGTGGGTGAAAAGTACTGGGTTCGATACATCAGGACGCGGACCACGACATACGAGAAGATGCGTTTATTGTACTTAACACATGGAACAGAAAACTAACGACCGGGTGGCCAACTTTATCCAATTGTGGAGGGACACCCCTAGGTCCTATTGGTGGGAAGCGGGGTGGCCGGAAGCAGGGGGCAGGGCTTCGTCATGTGCCCCACCCCCCGGTACCTCACCCGGGGGAACTGCATTCCCCCGCGTTCCCCCCCGAAATGACCTCTGATCAGAGGACATAACAGTGGGCATGTTAGGGATTGTGAACACAGGTCAGGCAACTGTCCTAGATTCATACATAAAGTGTGATTTTGTGTCAGGAGCCTGAGAACCAGGTGAGGGATTGGGGGCGCCCAGCAATGGGTGGGAGAATAGGGAAGCTGCCCTCTGCTTGTGCCACACACACACACACAGAGAGAGAGAGAGAGAGAGAGTCAGGCGGTAAGGCTTAAAAAAAAAAGGACTTTGGCACGGGGTTTGGCTCACTTGTGTGAGTCATCCGAGCAGAAGACCCTGTGATGCATCATTTATGTGCTCCTCCTTTTGCTGGTAAGGAAGTCTACTGATGGTCTCTCCCATGTCCCCCTCCTCAAACCCTGCGGCCAGTCCTGACCACCACAGAAAACGGCTTGTTTGCATTTATCCCCAAATAAATATCATCTAACTGGAGAGAATGCTTACGCAGTTCTTCCCAGCCCAGAATATCCAGAGCACAAACAGAACAGGCCAGGCAGCCTGCTTACAAATGGTGCTTAATTTGCAGTAAATAACCAAGTTAATTAGGAGTAATGATCCCCTAGACAGTCTCCACATCTAATTATTCTTTAAAAAAAATCTGTCTGCTTGATGCATCGGTGTGGGGGGGGGAGAGCGGAAGAGGGGGAGATCTAGAGAGAATTTTTTTTCATTCCAATTTTCAATTTATCTCACTGCATTATTAATTAATAATAATTAATATTCAGCCTGCACACATATATTTACAATTCAAGGCATGAATTGTTTATGAACGATGATATGAACTTTTAAATTTAATTAAGGAGTTTAGAGCTAATTAATTTGTAAATTCCTAAATATAAACTTCCAACTTGTTTGCCTCAAAAGTGGAGGAGTCCTAATTAGAGACGGGCCTTTTCAAAATGCAAAAAGATAACCAGGCTATAAACAGACCATCGACAGATTGTTAGGTGGCTGGAGGGGAAAAAAGGCATGCTTTGTAGCTGTCGATTTCCCCCATTCCTCCATGAAGAGCCAAACTGAAAGAGATTATTCACATATAAAGATGACAAAGAAAAGCAAATCCTGAATCATCGCATCTCGGTACACAAAGATACACCTTGGAAAGCAAGATTAAGGTCTGCGTTCCTCTCCAAAGCAGTCCTTTAAGGATGCTGCACAATATTACATTTTTCCTAGGCAGAAACAATCCTAGGACAGCGTGGCCATTTTGTAGGGTTGTTTGGCCTACAGACAGGCGGAGGGGTCTTCCAGACTTGCATAGTCTGCCTGTTGCTGCTGCAGCTGCTGATTCAGTGCAGTGGGAGGGATGCCAGCTTCCAGGTGCAAACTGGTGATCCCCTGGAATTATAGCTCATCTCCAGACTACACAGATCAGATTCCCTGGAGAAAATGGGTGTTTTGGAGGGTGGACTCTATGAAGAAGAAGAAGAAGAGATTGGATTTATGCCCCGCCCTTCACTTGGAGTCTCAGAGCGGCTTACAACCCCCTTTCCCTCCCCCTCCCCACAACAGGCACCCTGTGAGGTGGGTGGGGCTGAGAGAACTCTGACACAAACTGCTCTTTTCCAAGGACAGCTGTGCCAGAGCTTGTGACTGACCCGAGGTCACATCAGCAGGTGCAAGTGGAGGAGTGGGGAATCAAACCCGGTTCTCCCAGAGTCCGCACACTTAACCACTACACCAAACTGGCATTGCACCCCACTGAGGCCCCTGTCCTCTCCAGGCTCCATCCCCAAATCTCCAGGAGTTTCCCAAACTGGATCTGGCAACCAGCCCCCCCCCCATTCCCCACCAGTGGCCAGTGGGGATCTGGCAACCCTATGCAGTGACGACAGGAATTCCACACAGCTACAGAACGGCTTGTGTGTTATAGTGCTTAAGAGTACTGGACTAAGGTCTGCGAGGTCCAGGTTCAAATCAGCTCTCTGACATGAAGCCTGTTGGGTGAACTTCAGCCAGACATTCTCTCACAGCCTAACCTACCTTACAAGGTTAAAATGGAGGATGGGAGGATGCATCCTGCTCTATACTCGACCAAGTCTATTCTCCATTCCTACCCTGGGAGAAGACATCTGCACACGGCTGGTCAGCATTGATCAGTTTCATTGGTTTCTCAAAGGACTGGAGAATTCCCGGGAAGTTCCGGTGGTACTCCAGGAGCCGCCTTGTGGTCTCCACTTCGGATATTCCTTCCGGTGCCTTCAGGTGCTTCTGTACGGCCTCGTCACTTGGCCAATCAAAGGTTGTATGGTACACCTCTGGAAAGGGGACAGTTTAAAAGATCCATTCAGAAGGAGACTTCGTTGAAACCGCAACTTGAGTCTTAGCCATAACCAGAGAATATCCTGGTTACGCTTGGAAACTGCTGACAATATGTATGGGATATGCTGACAGAACAATTGGATGACAGTGGGATTGGTTAGGAAGCACCTTGATAGCATTCAGCATAAATGATCCTGTTCATCTCCCTAGGATGGCCCCAGAATGAGTGGATTCTGCAAAACTGCAACAAAAGCTGGCTATGGGAGGCACCTGTTGGCTAGCACTTGTGACGTCACCGACACCTCTCACAGAACTGGTTTTAAATATTTCTGGGGTGTTTATTTAAAAAAAATAAGCAAAGAATGAATAATAAATAAACATGTATGCTATCCTGGGCTCCTTGGAGGAACGGCAGGATAACAACCAAATAAATAAATAAGTGGCACTTAATTTTCTTCTTTCTTTTTTTTTTAAAGACAGGCAGACTACCTGAAAAATGAGGAGAGTGGGAAAGACTGACAGCCGGCCTAGCACTCAATGAGAGAACAGACATCTGTCATGCAGACTACAAAGCTGGGAAGAAGCTGAGCTCCCACCACAAGAGAAAAACCTGCTGTGACTTCTCTTTAAGTATCTGTCTTTGTCCTATCGTTTCTACAGCTGTAATATATGGACATGAGCCTTGCTTTTGAAATTGTTCTGTGTCTGTTTTAAGCTAATGAGGAGACAACATTGCTAGCCTGTTCTTGCTAGGACAAAAAAGAGCTCTGTTGATTTACAAGGCCTCTGCCCCACCCTGAAGGGAATAACAGGCAACCATCTATGAGTATAAAAGAAGACTTAAATTTAGCTGCTCACAGTGTAGTCTGCAGGCTAGACTGTAACTCACTTAGGATAGCAACTAAGCCTCCCTCCGGCATCACTCAGAAGTATGCTGGAATAACTGGAGGTATGCCGGTGTAGCATCCCACCAACACTACACTGGTGCAATACTCATGCTGGTGTGGCATCGACCGCGTAGGAGCTGGAAACGGGGAATACCCAGCCGCATGCAAGGGGAGGGGCAGGGTTTAGTTGGTACCAATGCTCCCTCTGAGTTGTGGAGTCCTGTGAGCAAAACTCCTACTTTGTGAGCTACTGGCATGAAAGCTGTGAGTGAGGGATTTGGCCCCTGCATAAGTTAGTTTGCACTGGAGCCGTCCTTCCTGAGCGAAGAGAAAAATGTGTGAGCCGGAGGCTAAAAAACTGTGAGCTAGCTCACACCAACTCAGCCTAGAGGGAACACTGGTTGGTACCCTAAGCCCTCCTCCCACCTTGCAATGGCGTAACGACACTCCTATTGAACTCAATCGAAATGAAAAACAAAGTTCCCCCTCCCCACCTGCCTAACACAGCACCTCCCTACAGCGTAGGATTCTGACTATAAGTCTATAGCCCATCCCAGCTCTCCTAGGTCCTATATAAAGCCCAGACAGGATCCCTGCAGACCAAATGATATGGCCTGGAGCTGCATCTCTGCCCCCTGGATCATGCACACTTAGAATATGCATGCATGTGGGGGGTGGACTTTGGTGTTGGGACCCCTAGAGAAACGGTGCTTGGTGCACAAAGGGAATACTTTACACAAACAGCTAAGGGGAGAACAAACATTGTTACAGCATCTTACTAACACTGCTCAGTCAGAACTCTTTCAGGCACCCGGAACACCAACTCTCCAACCCTGCAGCAGAGGATGGAAAGACAATACACCTTGCACAGGTAAGCTTAGAGAAGGGGATTCCCTCTGCTAACGTCTCTCCTCACTTACCCTGCAGCAGGCACTAAAAGCTAGAACTGCAGATAGGAAGGCTGTAGGCCAGCCTTTGCCTGCTTCTGCTGGAATACTGGATGCAGGGAATCGCTAACAAAATGTGACAGCTCCCCCTGCAGTCTATGTGGTAGGGTCCATTCTATGGCTTATTCCCACCTTGTTCTATTCCATGAGTACACCAGGCTCAGTTTACGCAGGAGTAGGTGGTAGAGTGAGCCGGCAAAGTTCTTAGGCTGTATCACTTCAGAATGCATGTGGCAGACGGTATGGCTGAACGTTGCCATCTGTGAGCCCCGTTCCACCCTGCCCTCCTAGGAGGTTTCTGTTGTGGGCAGGAGCTCCTTAATTGAAGGCCTGGTGGAAGAGCTCCGTCTTACAAGCCCTGTGGAACTGCAAAAGGTCCCGCAGGGCCCTGATCTCTTCTGGGAGCTTGTTCCACCAGTATGGAGCCACCACCGAAAAGGCCCTGACCCTAGTTATGGCCAGCCATTGAAAGGCTGACCCCTGAACTCTCGCATTGGCGAGGCAGTGGATCAGTGACTGATGGTCGACCGAGTCGAATGCTGCCAACATGTCCAACAGCAACAGCACTGCCATTCTCCCCCGATCCAGATGCCTCCTGAGGTCATCTGTGAGGGTGACCAGTGCCGTCTCTGTCCCATGGCCCAGGCGAAAACCGGACTGGAAGGGATCTAAAATGGAAGCGTCATCCAAGAAGCTCTGTAGCTTTTGTTCCCATACGCACAAAATTATCAAGACAGTAAAAGCACACCACACCTCCAGTGTAGATGTCCACTCTTTTCCCAAGATTTCTCTCAATCAGCACAGTGTCTGCTGCGTAGAGCACCACTAGAAAATGAAGGAACCATTAAAATACAGTCTTGAGATTAAAATGCATTAAAATACAGTATTGAGATTGCTGCAGGCTTAGATATTTTCCGAGGGAGAGCAGTCATTTCTTGTTTCTCTCTGTCCCAGGATGCTTTTGGTCCAGCCTGAAATCTGCACACACACACACCCCAAGCGTTAGCTGATCTCAGTAAGTCTCTGACACCACCTGCTGTAGCCCACTTGAAGATAAACTGCAGTTGTGGGTCTTTTCCACCATGCCCTGAAAAATTGCTGCTGCTCCCCCCCCTTCATCTTTCCCCCTCCTACAAAACACCCAGTTTAGTGAACTCAAACGCTGGGTCATTTTCTACGGGATAAGAACATAAGAAAAGTCATGATGGATCAGACCAGTGGTCATAAGAACATAAGAGACGCCAATGTTGGATCAGGCCAAAGGCCCATCCAGTCCAACACTCTGTATCACACAGTGGCCAGAAATACCAGTGCCATCAGGAGGTCCACCAGTGGGGCCAGGACATTAGAAGCCCTCCCACTGTTGCCCCCCCCAAGCACCAAGATGACAGAGCATCACTTGCCCCAGAGTCCCTATCTATACCTTGTGGCTAATAGCCACTGATGGACCTCTGCTCCATATACTTATCTAATTCCCTTTTGAAGCCGTCCATGCTTGTAGCTGCCACCACCTCCTGTGGCAGTGAATTCCAAGTGTTAATCACTCTTTGGGTGAAGAAGCACTTCCTTTTATCCGTTCTAACCCGACCGCTCAGCAATTTCATGGAGTGCCCACGAGTTCTTGTATTGTGAGAAAGGGAGAAAAGTACCTCTTTCTCTACCTGCTCTATCCCATGCATAATCTTATAAACCTCAATCATGTCACCCCTCAGTCGTCGTTTCTCCAAGCTAAAGAGCCCTAAGCGCCTTAACCTTTCATCATAGGGAAAGTGTTCCAACCCTTTTATCATTCGAGTTGCCCTTTTCTGGGCTTTTTCCAAAGCTATAATATCCTTTTTAAGGTGTGGTGACCAGAATTGCACACAGTATTCCTTCTAGTCTAGCATCCTGTCTCACACAGTAGCCAACCAGCTGCTCTAGAAGTCAAACAAACAGGGCACAGAGGCCTTCCCCTGATGCCGCCCCCTGGCACTGGTTTACTGCCTCTGAATGTGGAGGTTCCCCTTAGCAATCATGGCTAGTGGCCGCCTGCGTTCCCTCTAAGCTGAGTTAGTGTGAGCTAGCTCACAGTTTTTTAGCCTCCGGCTAGACGTTTTTCTCCTAGTTCTGGAAGGATGGGCTCCAGAACAAACTAACTTATGCAGTAGCCATATTGCTCGCTCACAACTTTAATGTCAGTAGCTCACTAACTAGAATTCTTGCTCACAAGACTCCACAGCTTAGAGGGAGCACTGGCTGATAACAACATGGTTGCCTGCATTATTTTTTTTTGTAAATAGTCATAGTAAGTGTTTAAGGTAGGGCTGCCAAGCCGTGGCGGGGGATCCACACGTCTTCACAGGTTCCCTGCCGCGGGGGACAGTGATACGCGTTGCACTGCCGTTGCCAGGATGTGACGCTACGCATCGCTCTGGCAATGGAGCTGTTTGGAGTCCCGTTGCCATAGTGACGCGTAGCGTCACATCCTGGTGACGGCGGTGCAACGCGTATCACTGTCCCCCGCGGAAGGGATTCTGTGAAAATGTGCGGATCCCCCGCCGCGGCTTGGCAGCCCTAGTTTAAGGTGACTTTCTGGTTGCCTCCTCCAAACGAGGCTTGGTGGGAAAGTACTCATTTTAACCCCCTTGAAAAGGTACCACTTTTCAAAATCTCTCTTTTCCATCTTGTTTATCTAAGAAGTTGCTAAATAATATATGAATCAATACAAGGTACATTCAAGGTACTGGCTATCACATGTGGCCTTGGTTCCTTCGTGGTCTTGGTCCCCCTTATTTACGGGACCCCCTATCTCTCTGTGCTCCGCCACAGCAACTCCGCTCATGTCAGCAAGGGTTTCTGCGGGTACCAACCGGCAAATGGGCAGAATCAGCAACTGCCCGTGCCGGTGCCTTCTCCGCTGTGGCCCCTGCCTTGCAGAATGGCCTGCCCGAGGAGGTCAGGAAAGCTCCCCCTCTCCTGGCCTTCCGCAAACAACGCAAAACTGAACTGTTCAGGAGGGCCTTTCTGCGCTGGCAATAAGGCTGCACAGTACAGAACGATTTCACAAACGTCCTTGGGTAAATGATCGGGACTTGTGGTCTTTACTGTTGTATGTAGCGTATTGTAAATATGATTCTATTATGTAATTTTGGTACTGCTTAATATGTCATATTAACACTTATGCTATGGTTTTCCAATATCTTAATGCATTTAAATAAATAAATACATTTTGTTGATTGTACTGACTCATTATGTGTAATCTGCCTTGAGTCCATCTGAGCAAGGTGGACTGTGAATAACGGAAATAAATAACAATAAACATGAGAAAGTCTTGATTAGAGAAATTCAGATAAAGGTTCTTACCAACATGCCTGGGAATAATCCCCTTTTCCTGCAGGGCTCGTGCAAGTTCTCGGGTGCCAGGAATCCCTTCCATAACCCAGCCCTGGTGGATAAAGACACGTAATAGTTAACTATTTAAATAAAAGGCATACAACAATAACCCAGGTGCCGAGAACTGTACGCACATGAACACACACAAAGCTGCCTTATACTGGATTAGACTTTTGCTCTGTCAAGGTCGGTATTGTCTGCTCAGGCTGGCAGCAGTTCTCCAGGGTCTCAGGCAGAGGTCTTTCACATCAAGTGGTTAAGATGCTGAACTGCAGGCTGTGGAAGGTCAGTAGTTCAGCAGTTCGAGACCCAGGTGCCGCACGATGGAGTGAGCTCCCATCTCTAGTTCCAGCTCCTGCCAACCTAGCAGTTTGAAAGCAGGAAATTGCAAGTAGATAAATAGGTACCACTTTGGTGGGAAGGTAACAGCGTTCCCTGTGCCTTAGTGTTTAGTCATGCCGGCCACATGACCACGGAAACGTCTTCGGACAGCGCTGGCTCTTCGGCTTTGAAACGGAGATGAGCACCGCAACCCTAGAGTCGGATTCGACTGGCTTTCAAGCAAGGGAACCTTTACCTTTACCTTACCATCTGATGCTTTTAACTGGAGATGCCAAGGATTGAACCCGTGTGACGGTTTGATTGCACCTGTGTGGCCAGTATCAGCTGAGAGAAGGTATATGATCAGCGGTATACTGGAGGAGAAAAGGCTTCTCGTCTGGAGTCAGCAAGCCAGTGAGTTGGCTTCTGACAGAGAAAGAGATGGCTGGAGTCAGTGGTTCTGACAGGATTTCTCAGACAGGTTCTTCGTCTGAGAGAAGAGACTCTTTTGCCCTAATTGAATAAGAAGTACTCTGAGGGAGAATTGTCATTATAAGTCTAGAAAGCTAAAAAAAACCAAAACCGTTTTACACAGACATCAGTACTGGAAGAGAGGTTTGGCAAGGGTGACTGAATTGTTAGGCTGTAACTCCCAATCAAGCCAAACAGAAAAGGGTTATTGCTTCTTAGGGAAAAGAAGAATAATTCCTGCCAGTTAAAAAGGGCTGAGCTCTGGGGAGAAACCTGTTCTGTGGCGAAGGAAATAAGCTTGATACCTCAGGAGTTAGTGGGAAACTGTTTTCAAAACGGAGAAAGTTAGATTCTCTAAGAAAGAGGAAATCTCTAGGAAACTCTGGGGTGTAATGTTGAAATATACTAAGCAAAATACCTCCCCCTGAAAAGATCTAGAAATCTCTGAAAATAAGCTAGAACAACACACTCTTGTTGGTTTTAAGAATCCATTCCTGTACAAAATATATATATTTTACCCCAACATTTCTAAACCTTGACTTCTTCTATATATTCCCTGCCTGTTAAATAAAAATCTTATATTCTGTTTTAAATTATACAGTCTCAAGTGCCTGGTTTTCCCTCAAGTTCCTGTGTTGGGTCAAAAGCCAAACTAAACCTCTGACAAAGGGTGGGACAATCAAGGGTGCGGTCACACTGTCCCTTTGATCGGGATTCACTGCTGTTTCCTCCTGCATTTAAAGTTTCTGTTCACATGCGCCTGCAACGAAGCAGGCTCACTCTTGCAATACTTGCGGGTTTTCCTGACCCCTGGAAAATCGAGTACGTTCCTGGATCTCGCGCTTTGAATGCGCGATTTCACCTATATGGACAGCCCTCTTTCGCAATGATTGCAAATAGGGCCGTCTGTCCACTCTCTGGATATTTATTTTTTCGCTTCCGGTTTGAGTGCCTGGGCATACATGCGCTTAAAAAATCAATTTTTTTTTAAAATAAAAAATGTCAGTGCTTACAGCATCCTGGTGGAGGCAGGAACGAGAGGTGGGGGCTCCGGCAGCCTGGATGGGGGTGGCAAGCAGGTGGCGGAGACGGCGCCCGAGCAGCACGTTAAAGCGGCCCAAGCTGCGCACCTTCCTGCTGGGCCTCGACCTCCTGGCCGCCCAGAAGCGCCGGGAGAAGGCACGCCAGGCCGGTGGCGACTGGGCCGATGGAAAGGACGGCCCCGCAGCCGCCCAGGAGCAGCTGCTGCTGTCGCCGGATGGGGACGAGGGCAAGGGGGACAGCGAGCAGCCGGTAAGAGGGATGGCTCTTGAGGGGTGGTATAAACATGCAAAACCGGAACAAAATATTCCCGTTTAAATTAAAGCGGGAACAAGGCGGATTTACAGTGCCGTGTGACCTAGGCCCAAGTCTTTTAAGACAAAGCAGAAATAAACGCTATTGGAGGGGCAGCCTCAGACACAGAAGGGAACTAAGTTTTTGACGGGAAAAATATGCCTGGGAGCTGGAAAGTGACAGGCGTCCATTATAGCCTGGGAAGCACAGACTCTTCCACTGAGCCACGGCCCCTCCCCTACAGAGTTGCCAACTCTTAAAACCCACAATTCTGGTATGCAGAAGGTACCCGGGGCACAGCAGCATGTGCCCAGGGTGGAGCTCACCTCCCAGGGACACCAGAAGAGGATAGCACTAAAAGGACAGAATTCCCGCAGCCCCTGGTCATTTGGGGTCGATGGAGACAGGCAAGTGACACGACTTGCTTTTGGATGATGCCGAGGATGGGCCAGGATGCTGTATGGGCCTGGAAGGAATCTGTCTGAGGGCTCTTGCCAGCCTGCCACCTGCACACCTAAGGCCGAGCACACAAAAAATGCTCTTCCGGTATAACGTGCACAGTTCTTACATGCGCTGACAAATCCCCTGCCTCAAGCAGTACCGACTACATATACTACAAGTTGAGAGATGGTAAAATTTCCAGATATTTTGAGGTTGGGGGGCGGGGACACCCTCTCTGCCCCTTTTCTTTCTGGGAAAAAACCAGAAAATTTGGGGGGAAACTGAAATATACTTGTTTTTACTTTACCTACTTGCAGCTGCTGGATGACCTTGGGCAAGCCATAGTTCTGTCAGAGCTGTTCTTGAAAACAGCAGTTTCTGTCAGAGCTCTCTCAGCCTCACCTACCTCACAGGCAGTGTTCCCTCTAAGCTAGCTCACAGCTTTTTAGCCTCCGGCTCACACATTTTCCTCTTAGCTCAGGAAGGATGGCTCCAGAGCAAACTAATTTATATAGTAGCCAAATTGCTCGCTCACAGCTTTAATGCCAGTAGCTCACAAAGTAGAATTTTTGCTCACAAGACTCCAAAGCTTAGAGGGAGCATTGCTCACAGGGTGTTGTGGGGAGGGGAAGCCAAAGGAGTTTATTAGCCGCTCTGTGAGTGAAGGGCGGGGTATAAATTCAATCTCTTCTACTACTACTACTACTACTACTACTACTACTACTACTCTACTACTACTACTTCATTTTTGCCCAGCCTTTTTCCCCAGTGGGGAACCAAAGTGGTTTATATCATTCTTCCTCCCTCCATTTTATCCTCACAAAAATCCTGTGAGGTAGGTTAGGCTGAGAATGTGTGACTGGCCCAACATCACCCAGAAAGTTTCCATGGTAGAATGGGGATTCGAACCTGGGTTTCCGAGATCCTAGACTTACACTGTCATTACTACAACACCACTATGCAATGCTCTTTCTTATAAGCAGAGGTCATTTTGGGGGGATCGCGGGGGATCGCAGTTCCCCCGGGTGAGGTACGGGGGGCGGGGCACATGACAAAGCCCCGCCCCCTGCTTCCGGCTGCCCTGCTTCCGGCCCTCATTCAGCCAGGAGGAGGCAGGAGAAGAGGGAGGGTAAGTTGCTTCCTCCCTGCCTCTCCCCATCCTTGCCTGCCTGGGGCCAGAGAGGGCCTTCGCGGGGCTTTCTTGCACTCCCGCTGGCCTTGCAGGTCCACCGCCGGGCCCCTCATGGGGCTCAGCAGTGGAGCTGCAAGGCCGCCGGCGGCAGCCGGGACCATTGGGGGCGGGGTGTGTGGCCTTATGACACACTTCCGGTGATGTCAGGGGGTGTGGCCTTATGACACACTTCCGGTGATGTCAGGGGGTGTGGCATATGCTAATGAGTTATGCTAATGAGTTCCCCTAGCTCTTTTTCTACGAAACGACCCCTGCTTATAAGACCCAAAATTCTTCTACCAATTTAACAAAATGCAACATCTTACTATGCGACATATTTATGGAAGCATAAATATCTTTATTTTTCGTAAAAACAAATTGAATGTATACCTAATATTTGAGAAAGAGTTGCAAATTGCTCCACCCTGTGCTACCATAGCACATGTATCTTAATTTTTGCCATCTGAGAGACAGGAAAAAGTTGAAAGTAGAAAACAAATTCTATAGTAAACAAAAGAAAGTGCATAATTTGAACAGAAGCTCTTTTAAGCAGCCACAATGGGGAGAACTACCAGCATATTTGGATATTAAGATAAGCTTTGTAACACTGAACTCTTTAATAAGCATATTAATTGTGCCAGAATTCAAACAAAAACTTTCTTGAAAATGTTGTATATGTTTGCCTTATGCATAAGAATTATCATTATCTAATGCAGTAAAATTTCTTACAGCAGAGCTGGATGTATAACTGAGAGACTAAATCATTGTGGAAATGGTGGTTTGCCTTTCTTGGAGCCAACACACCAGAAAAATACAAACAAATGTTTGTCCTGTCTGAAGGAAGATGTCCAGTCAAGATAGAAGAGTGCCTTCCACATATCCAGGGAGTTTAGGGGTGCACTCTGTGTCTATAGTCGGGGACGGAAAGAAGGCTGGCAGGAGAAGAAGAAGAAGAAGAAGAAGAAGAAGAAGAAGAAGAAGAAGAAGAAGAAGAAGAAGAAGAAGAAGAAGAAGAAGAGGAGGAGGAGGAGGAGGAGGAGATTGGGAGGACTATTTGGGAGTTGGTGAACACGCATGAACATACACGAAGCTGCCTTCTACTGAATCAGACCATCAGTCCATCAAGGTCAGCAGTGTCTAAGACTGACAGTGGTTCTTCAGGGTCTCAGGCAGAGGTCTTTCACATCATCTACTGCCTGTTCCTTTTAACTGGAGAGGCCAAGGAGTGAACCTGGGACCTTTTGCATGCCAAGCAGAAGCTCTCCCACTGAGCCACAGCCCCTCCCAAAGGGGCTTCCAATACACAACAAATCTCTTCAAGGGCTTTCCTCAGGAAGGCTGACAGGGAAGGGACATGAATTCCATCCCCCATGGGCACCCCCTTTCCCATGAATGAGAGGACTTGTGTGACAAAGGAAAGGATTTTTTTTTATACAACAGGTGGTCAGAAGAAGCATGTGACTGTCTGGAAGACCTTGACAATTGGAACCACTGCCAATGTCTTTGTCGTTCAGGAATACCAGAAAGGCCCATGGAGCATGCTGTGGACCTGGACTCTTGAAGATGCTCTCATGTATCATCCATCATCCTGCTAAATAAACCTTCCCCATAGAATGGTAGGTCTTCAATCTTCATTTTTGCATCTGAAGTTAAGGAGGATGACCACAACCAGCATGATGGCGGAGGGCTACAGCAGTAGACATTTGTCTCAATCCACACTTGATGACATGCTTAGCAGTGAACATCTGCTGCTTTTGACAGCTGAAGTGCCTCCTTCTTGAATGTAACTGCCAAGAGACCCTCTGACAGATGATCCTATGCCAGGGACAATTTCTCCCACAAGGAGAGTTGGTAGCTGGACATGAACCAGTAGGAAAGGCAGGATATAAATGTTTTAAGAAAGAAAATTTAATAAATAATATAGCTAACTATTTTGAAACTCTTCAGCGATGTCCAACAGAGTGGGGGAGACTGGAAAGGCTACTAGTGCATGTAAAGCAGATTGGATCATTACAAGCAAAGGATCTTCACCTGGCAGGGGATGTTGGGTAACTAGGATGACAAGGGCTGTAGTCATTCTAACCATCTGTTCCGAAAACATATGAACGCCTTTGGCAGGTGACAAATGTTGTTGATCCAACATGACTTCGGTTGGAGACAAGACCAAAGCTACAATCTGATGCTTTGGAAAGGGAACAGGCTTCAGCCACAGAGGCCACAGAATCTGATTGAGAAGATTTTGATGACTTAGTGGACGCTGAAGGCCGACTGCTGTCTTGAACATCAGAGGACAAGGGAGAGATAACCAGGATGACAGTGTGCAGCTGGGTGTGGCACCTGTCGAACTTGACAGGACAATGGATTGTTATAGCATTTAGGGAAGGAAGCAGAGTTTTTTCTTGATTTTGCTGACCCAGTGTTGGAATCAATACAGTGGCTGTCAGGATCATACACGTTGCTGGAACAAGAGTGAAGGATTGTGTTGGGACCAATGGCTGAGTGGTGGCACAGTGGGTATAAGAGAGCCAGTTTGGTGTAGTGGTTAAGTGCGTGGACTCTAATCTGGGAGGACCAGGTTTGATTCCCCACTCCTCCACTTGCACCTGCTGATGTGACCTTGGGTCAGTCACAAGCTCTGGCACAGCTGTCCTTGAAAAAGAGCAGTTTGTGTCAGAGTTCTCTCAGCCCCACCTACCTCACAGGATGTCTGTTGTCGGGAGGGGAAGGGAAAGGAGTTTGTAAGCTGCTCTGAGACTCCAAGTGAAGGGCGGGGTATAAATCCAATCTCTTCTTCTTCTCTTCTTCTTAACATCTGAACTGTGTTAGTTCAAGCCCCACGCTGGTGTGAGCAGCCAGCCTGTTGTCCCCAGCTCATCGTCCACCCAGCGATTCAAAAGCTTCGGCGAGTAAATAAAATGGGAACCACTCCTTAGAGAGGGTGAGCACGCCAATCTCCCTTGTGGGAGGGTGTTAGCTGACGGTCGGACGTCTTGGTCGAGGCTTGGAAGGCGAAATAA